TATATTATATATATATATATACATATTCATATAAATTTAAAATTTTATACATAATAACAATATTATTAGAATTTTTTTTATTACTAGAATTTTTTTATATATAGTAAATAATTTAATCTTATTTTATAAAAATTTTAATTTTACTTATTAATACAAATGTTATGTTCATTCTATAAAACTTCCATTATATATTAAATATGAAATTAAAATTATGTCAACAATCATGAACAATTTTACAAGCCGGCTTCTAAATGATGACGTGTAAGAACTAACCATCTGGATCAGCTTCAATTGTATTTTGTTTTAAATATAAAAGTAGCAAATAAGATAAATATCATATTATTATTTTTTTTTAATTTTAATGTAATTAAAATTTATTCAAGAAAAAATCAAAGATTACTCACAAAATTCAACGAGCAGATAATCATTTTGTTCGATTGCTTCTTCGATGTTATCTTTTGTAAGCACTAAAACCGAATCTTCGATTTCAATTTTTGCAAGACTAAAAGTAAAGAAACAAATTATTACAATTGTTAATGCAAAAATCTTCATCTTTAAACGAAGACAATGTTATTTCTTGATAAATTATATCACGACACGTATATAAATTTCACTTAATCGTACGACAAAATAACGGATTCTACCGTTACAATATTGAGATTAAAGTCACCAACACTATTCGTTGAGGAATATGAATAAAGTGATCAAATACAATAATGCAGAGGACTATACAGTTGGTAGATTGTGGTTAATGCGTGGCATCACATTCATCGTGGAAGATGCTGATTGGTCAATACAGTATTTAGAGATCCAGTAAGATGTAATATAAGATTACTATACAAGAGTTAGAACATTATCTTTTTTAATGATATAATTTTATTATTTCAATAAATGTATTTTATGTTATATTTTAATATAATTAAAATTTTTTTTAGAATAATTTTTAATTTATATTATATATGTATATATATATATATATATAAAACAAATGATAATGATATATATTTATTCAATATATTGATATATTTCATATTTGAATTAATTAAAATTATCTTAATTTTTTGTAAAATATTTTTATTAAAATTTTCAATATTCAAAACTTAAATTTTTTATACATTTTTATATATTTTTCATATATAAAGAACTAAACATATATTTCAGTATAAATAAGAAAAAGTATAATTTAAACGTGTATTTCATATAATTATTTTTTATATTATAATGTATAAAATATTTTTTTGTATAATTTAAATATAAAAATTAAATTTTATTAATTTAAAAAAAAATATTATTTTGCAAATATTTATTTATTTTCTAATTTCAAAATGTATAGTACAAAATATTTAATAAATTCATATTTTTAAAAAATAAATATAATCGAGATATTCAACAAATAGGTCATATTTATATACAATAGTACATTACATAACTACAATTAAAATATAACTGTCTAAAATAACAAATTAGAATTTAACCTTATATTTATTGTGAAATATTGTACATTAAAGAAATTTTTTTAAAAATTTAAATATTTTAGGAAACAGGTATATTAAAAAATAATTATTCGATAATATATAATTGTTTTTTTAAATATGAAAATATACTAATTATAAATATATAGTAATTATAAATAAATCAAAATATACTACTTTTTATTAAATAATATATCGTTATTATATTATATAAGAAAAATTAATTTAATTTTTTATTTTATTAAAATCATTTATATTCATTTAAGTGTTATGTGTTTAATATAGAAATAAGAAAAAATAAATATAATAATTTAAAACAAGCATTCAAAATTAAATTTTGAATATAAGTGATCTTTTATTTACAGAGATGACATATGTAATAACATCAGA